AGGGAGAGGGCGTGTGTGTGTGTGTGTGTGGGTGTGTGCGTGTGTGATGTCTAAGTGGTTGGGATTTTACCTCACTCCCCACATCATTCTAGAACTGGTCTGCTTCTCTTTGTTTTACATATTGGGCTTCTGAGTAAGATTTTATCCAAAGAAAGGATTGCACTGTTAAAAAATGTTTGAAAACCATTGGCCTAATTTTTTCCTTCTGCATTTATTCAGAATGTCTTTTTATAGTAATTTGACCTTCCTGGCCTGTGTTTGGCCAATGGGATGACAGAGTTATCTGGCCAATGTAATGGCACCAGTCACCCGCGGAGTAAACGGCAGGGACTCGGCAGCCTTCCCTTCGGCTGACAAGGCACACCGTCCGCATTTCAGAAGCACCATTACTATTTGTGGTAATAAGCAAATAAGGGAGTTTGGGGGGGAGGGGTGGTACCATACATAAATTGACTCTAAAGGCAATCTCAAATGAGTTCCAAAAATATTTTAGGCAGTGAGTGGCAATACTGTTGAAATAAGTTTATGGCCCTTAAAAATGCTAGAAACTCTAAAATAAACTTTGAAATCATTCTGTAGGATTCATAATATCAAACTATGACTTGCAAAGGGCAAGAGACTGGACTTCACTTCTAGCTTGTTAGGCAAAAACTCAGGGATCTAATATAATCAGGGACTGACCAACTGCTTGATCACTGATCTATAAAAATACATCTGATTTGATCAATTGGAATGTCTGGTTCATTCCATTTTTATAAAGATGTTGAAAAGCTCCAAATATTTGCATCGCACGGAGCGTTTCTGGTGGCTCAAGAAAGTTTCCCGGAGCAAACCTTTTTTCTTTCCTGTGTGTCCCAGGATGGTACTTAGTTTCTAACAGATGTTCAAATATGTGTTGAAAGAATGAATTCACAAGGAAAAGCAACGGTGGTTACCTCTAGGGAGCAGGCCTGGCCGCTGGTAGGACTGTTACTTCTCAGTTTGTGCCCACACGTGGCACTTCTATGGGAGGGTGAGAAGAACGCTGCTCTCCTTGTGCTTTTGCTCATGGAGAGGAGGAGACTTCTGTCCTCGCTCTCCCTGCTGTGCTTTGCCGTTGGGAGTGCCCCCAGCCCCCACCCAGAGCAAGGAGGACTGTACCATCCGGCTGGCTCTTCTTGGACAGTGTGGATGTGTTCTGAGCAGGCATGATTACACTCCTCCTCATTCCTTCCCCGTCTCCGTTACAGTGTGATCGGGGCCTCACTTCCCAAGTAGGTATGGCCCCGCTTGTACTCTCGCCTTCAGCTTACCTGACACAGTCTTGCACATGGGGCTGGCTGGCTGGATGTGGACGGTGGAGTTTGTCCTTGTCTTAGTCCATGCTGGCTGCTACAGCAAAATACTATTAGCTGAGTGGCTTTAATACAACAGGCATTTATTTCTCATAGTTCTTGAGATTGGGAAGTCCAAAAGCAAGATTTGGTGCCTTCTGAGGGATTATTTCCTGGTTCAGAGGCAAGGATCTTGTTTAAAAAAAGTTCCTCCTTCCCTTCCTCCCTCCCTCCCTCTCTCCCTCCCTCCCTCCCTCCCTCTCCCCCTCCCTCTCTCCCTCCCTCCCTTTCTCTCTCTCTCTCTCTCTCTCCTTCCTTCCTTCCTTCCTTCCTTCCTTCTTTCTTTCTTTCTTTTTTTCTTTCTTTCTTTCTTTCTTTCTTTCTTTCTTTCTTTCTTTCTTTCTTTCTTTCTTTCTTTCTTTCTTTCTTTCCCCCCTTTTTTTAGAGAGAGAGAAAGAAAGAGAGAACGATTTTCTGTTTGCTGGTTCCCTCCCCAAACGAACCAGGCCAGGTTGAAGCCAGAAGGCAAGAACTCCATCTGGGTCTCCCACATAGGTTGCAGGGACCCAAGGACTGTGCATTAGCAGGAGGTTAGCTTGGAAGCAGAGGCGGAGCTTGATCCCAGGAACTCTGAAATGGGCTGGTGGCTTAACCTGCTGTGCCACAGTGTGTGCTCCATCTTTTTGCTGTGCCCTGTCGTGGCAGAAAAGGCACAGTAGCCCTCCGGGCCACTCTTATAAAGGCACAAATTCCATTCACGAGGGCTTTGCTCTCATGACCGAATCATCTCCTGTAGCTCCATAGCCAAATACTGTTACAGTGGGGATTAGGTGTCAACATCTGAATTTCGGAGGGACACAAACAGCCAGTCTATGGCATCCTTTCAACCTGGGCAGGTAGAGACCCCTGAGGGATCCAAAACAGCCCAGCAGAGACTCTCTGAACTGGAGAACACAGAACCCTGGAGCATGAATGAAACTTGTCTCTTTTCCATCCACCTATAGTTCTTGCAGAAGAGAGCTGGGGGCAAGGTGGTGGCTTTCAGGAGCTCAGAGCTTCTCCCATCCCAACCTTAAGCTTTTGCTTGTTCAGTTCACTCTCTGCGTGTATGAACGTGCCATTGTGCTTATTCTATTTTTGAAATGAGCGTGTGGATCAGAGCATAATAACGAGTGAGGAGTGAATATGGTACGGTGGTTTTTTTTCCCTCCACCTACACAAGGGAATAATTATTTTTCACCAATTCTGTTAGAGGCTGTTTGTACTCGAATCTGTAAATAGGAATGATCCTAACAGTTGGCTGGCAGAATGATTTGGCACTAAGACTGTTAGGTTCACAGAGTCATTAAATACTTTGGTTAGAAGAGAAATGTAAAGGCCAGAGAGTTACTCAATCAAAAACTTTGGAGACTGAAACAGACCAGTGCATTCCATGTGGGTGGTAGTGCTCTATACCATCTGATGAAGGGTTGTAAGTCGCGTTGTCAGGAAGCGAGCATGGATGAAAAATTTTCTGTTCTGAAGCAGGTTGCTCTTTGTGCTTATGTGAATCGGTGTTGTATTAGCAGTAGCAGCAACCAGCGCAGTCATAGCTATTGTTCATTGAATGTTTACTGTGCAATAAATATAATCTTTTACACATGCCAATCCAATAAGGAAACTACTACTATCCCATTTTACAGATGAGGAAATGACACATATTAGGAACAGTAGTGTGCTGTTGGCTCCTACTAGCTCCTTCCCACGCCACATTCAACATCATAATACTGGCAGATTGAAATTGGCCACTGGGGAAGAATGTACACCACAAGAATTGACACAGACTGTAAACTATGAGGTCATTTTGTCCTTTCCCCAGAAGGCTGGTTGACAAACATTATTGACATTTTGCTGGATAAGATTCAAACCCAGTTGGTTGGATTAGAGAATATTTTGCCAAAGATGCGTGTTTTCATGCCAAAGTATTGATGATAGTATTAAAAAGTTTTATATCATATGAACCACTTTCATTTTGCTCTTCTGTTCCTTGCGGCCTAATGCACCCTAATTGATTGCTGGCACTTCCTTGTAGACTGTTGTGGGGGATAAGTGTGGTGATGAGTTTGACCCAGTAACTGCAGAGTTGTACATAGTAAATGCTAGCTAACATAAAAGAACAGGCAGTAGGTACGGCCCTGAGTCACTATTGTCACCTGCTGTGATTTCAGTGTGGTTTGTTCCCTATGCCAGTGCGGTTTGTCCCCTAGAGGCTCATGTGTTGGAAACCAGGTCCTCCACGTGACCATGTTGAGAGGTGGTGGAATGTTTAACATCGCCATTACATTGTTGATTTAATTATTTTATTTATTTGAAAGGCACAGAGAGATCTCCCACCTGCTCGTTCACTCTCCACATGACAGTAATAGCCAGGCCAAGGGCAGGCCAAAGCCAGGTGCCAGTAGCTCAACCCAAGTCTCTAACATGGGTGGCAGGGACCCAAGTACTTGAGCCATCACTGCTGCCTCCCAAGGTTCACATTAGCCGGAAACAGGAAGCAGCAGCAGAGCTGGGGCTCGACCCTGGGCTCTCTAATATGGAATGCAGGTGTCCCAAGCATCATCTTAACTGCTGTGCCAAATGCCTTCTTCTATGCAGTGGGACTTTAAAAAAAAGTGGAGCCTTTTGGGAGTTGGTCAGTTCATTGAGGGTGCTGCCCCCAGAAAGGGTTAAGGCAGTTCTCATGGGACCCCGAGAGGAAGACTCCCCCACCCCCCAACTCTCTGGCTTCCTGGCTCAGCTGTATGATCTCTCCTTCTCACATGCGTCGTCCTCACCATGCCCTGCACCATGAGGCCCTTGCAAAGGCAGGGGCTATTCTGTTTAGACTCTCAACCTCCAAAACTATGATCTTACTAAGCCTCCTTTCTTTACAGGCACCCAGCTTCAGGTATTTTGTTGTAACAATGGAAAAATGGGCTAATACACTGTTTCAAACTATCCTTCTACCTTCATAGATACTGAAGAGTGGCAAAATTACCTATTCCCCACTTTATCTCTTTCCCATAGTCTGTATCCTAGGGTAAAAGATGAATTAAAAAGAGAAGTCGCCGGCGCCATGGCTCACTAGGCTAATGCTCCGCCTAGCGGCGCCGGCACACCAGGTTCTAGTCCCAGTCGGGGCGCCGGATTCCAGGCCAGCTCTCTGCTGTGGCCCGGGAAGGCAGTGGAGGATGGCACAAGTGCTTGGGCCCTGCACCCCATGGGAGACCAGGAGAAGCACCTGGGTCCTGCCTTTGGATCAGCGTGGTGCGCTGGCTGCAGCGTGCGGGCCACAGCGGCCATTGGAGGGTGAACCAACGGCAAAGGAAGACCTTTCTCTCTGTCTCTCTCTCTCTCTCACTGTCCACGCTGCCTGTTAAAAAAAAAAAAAGAGAGAAGTCATTAGGATAATACAGTGACAATAAATCTATGAACCAGTCGCGCCAGTTCCGAGTTCTGTGAAATCAGTCTGAAAAGTTGCAAACTTTTGTTGTACTTTAGGATGTTGTCCCACCATGCATTTGCCCTCCACTTCCCACCATGCATAGGGCTCTGGGGAGCGAGCCCAAGGTCATGCAACTGAGTCCGGATGGTGACTAACAGGGCATCCGTAGGACATCATTTGTCGAAACTCGAATCAGCCCAAGAGATGTGGCACTTCGACTTAGATGCTAAGGACTTGGGGTAGAAAATGATCCCTCCTCACCAGGAAGCAGAGGCTTATCTTTGTGGGCAGCCAAAATGAGAGACATAATAAAAGCAGCAAGATTAACGACAAAAAGAACAACCTGTAATTTCTGAGTGCTAGAAATACGTCGGGCATTTTCCTAAACATTTCCATTATCTCAGCAATTCTGAGTGATGTCATTATTCCCTTTCCTGAGGAGAGATGAATATGTAGAGGCAGTGAATAGCCAGCTTGAGATCATATAGGCGGCTGTGAGGGCTTCCGGACAATCTGATTCTCGAGTTCATGTTCCCAGAGAAGACTCCACACTATTCAGGAATAGCAGGGAGGGAATGGAGCAGAAGGGGCAGCCCTGGGGCTTCCAAGTTCTGAGATCATGCTCAGGCAAGAACCTCTGTCAAATGACTTTTTTTTTGAACTTTGTTGCCCATGACCTTCTCTAACCACTAGCCCCCCTTACCTATTGTCTTGGACCACTTACTAATCTGCATTCATCCTATTTAACATTTTCATGTGTCTGGCTTCCATTATCACCTTCATCTGCTAGCTGCCTCCAATCCTGATGATCCATTTGTATTCTTTTCTTGGCTCTGTCTTGAATAAGGCCCTCTTCCCCTAATCTACCCTATTAGCTTGGGTGAAGACATCAATTCTCCCTTCCTTCCTCCCTCCCTCCCTTCCTTCCTTCCTTCCTTCCTTCCTTCCTTCCTTCCTTCCTTCCTTCCTTCCTTCCTCTTTATTTCCTTCTCTCTCTCACACTCTCAGATTTTATTTATTTATTTGAGAGGTAGAGTTACAGAGAGAGGCAGAGAGAAAGAGAGAAAGAGAGAAAGAGAGAAAGAGAGAAAGAGAGAAAGAGAGAAAGAGAGAAAGAGAGAAAGAGAGAGAGGTCTTCGGTCTTCCATCGCTGGTTCACTCCCCAAATGGCTGCAATGGTTGGAGCTGGGCCAATCTGAAGCCAGGAGCCAGAAGCATCTTCCAGGTCTCCCACATGGGTGCAGTGGCCCGAGGACTTGGGCCACCTTCCACTGCTTTCTCAGGCCATAAGCAGAGAGCTGGATCAGAAGAAGGGCAGCTGGGACTTGAATCGGTGCCTGTATGCGATGACAGTGCCTCAGGCAGAGACTTAGCCTACTATGCCACAGCGCCACCCCTCTCAACAGAAATATTATTAACAACACATCAAGACTGAAGAACTAAGGCATTGTGTGTTTAAAGAAAGAAGTTTAAAATGTTTTATTAGAGAACATACATCGATATTGAACAACACTTAAATATATGGCATTCATATTTATAAGGACAAAATAAATTGCTATCATTTGAACAATCACTTTATTAAACAAATAAAATAAATTCATTTTTTTACCATTAAGCATGATCCATGAAGTCTATATTTTTTAATAACTTATTCATCTGCTTAGTCATATGTACATTCATTTTCCTAAAAAACAAAAACATCAAACTAACATGATTGTTCACTACATCACAGCATAAACAAACGGACCTGTAAAAAGGGGGTGTAGAAAATTCAGAAACACTTAAATAGCACATTCCAAGGATATTGGGTTCATTTAAAAGGAATTAAATACTTTGAAGCCATTGTAGTCAGCCCAGACATCATATATATGCAACCATACGAAATGCTGCCAATAATTCAAGTATAACCATTCACACACATAAACATATTAATCTGGTGTAGGAGGGGGAATATCCCTGTAGCATACCTACCTAACACTCAGCATGATTCACAGGAATTCTTTTGAAAATTTGTTTGGAACATGGAAGGAAAAGTAACGAGATCGTCAGCTCAGCAGACCAAAGCCCAAACCTGGAGCAGGTCGGTATGCTGGACAAGCACTGTGCGTTAGAAATCGCACTTTACAGGATCTTACGTGTCACACTGATCGTAAAGACTAAAGGAAAACCACAGCACTGAGGTCAGCCAGGCGGCCCGCTCTCACTTCTCTGGCAACGTGGAAATGCCGTGTTTGTATTTTGAGCAGATCTAACGCAGAAACAAGCAGAAATGCGGCAGCAAGCCAGGAAATGTCATGGGGTTCATGTTTAAATGGCACCGGCTTTATTTACTGAAAGAGAGTTTTAACTTCACAGGCAAAAATGTACCTCAAATTGCTTTCCTGAGCCCCACCAAGTTGAGTTCTTCCTGATTACTCCTTGATTGCAAGGGGGCAGCTGCAAGTCCTTTATGTTTGCTTCTGTGTCTCCCACCACTCCTGCTACGTTTGGCTTGTGACAAGCTTCCAGGCACACTTGGCTGTCACGTGCCCGGATACAGCGTATGCTGACATCTTTCCCATGATGAGGTGGAAACCCACCTTTGGGGTGTGGTGGGGACCTGATTATTTTCTGCTTTTTTGTTTTTGGAGGAGAAATCCTCTCTCTCTTTAAAAACATACTGTACAGTGTTTTCTTATTACAAATAACTCCTCAGTTTTTAGTAACACTGAATTGCCTTGTATACAATTTGCTTGCTAAGACATCCAAGGCGTTTGGTTATTTTTATGGATTAGCTGCCTCGTGTTTGAACAAATGTTTATTTGCACAATGAAAAATAGATTTTTTTTCCTTATGTTTAGCCATCATTGTAATCCCATGCTAAGCCTTGAGAACAAAGAGAATCAGATAACTGGGAAACCAAGGCCTTGTGATTTCCAGCCAAGCCAAACATGGTAGCTCTGTCGGGAAAGCCCCTGGACGCACCACATCCTGGCTCTTCCTGTGAATTCCTCCAAACCTTACAAAAAATAGGGAAGCCAAGCAGTTGTGGCCTGCCTGTGGGCACTTGGGGGCTGAGGACTCGTGGTGCAGCCATGATCAGCAAGTCCGGTTTTCCATGCACCCTGACAGAGTAGAGGAGGGTCATCCCCAACAAATGCCCGAGGTTCACCAGTCCCTCCGTCTCTGCACAGATTTAGTAATCCCTTTCCTGGAACAACTGTCTCTGTTCCCCACTCCATTTTATCTTCCAGGTTCCCACATAGAGGTTATTATTTTTGAAAAGGCGGATTCTGAGACTGGGTGTGGGGTGCCCTGGTGCCCCCATGGCACCCTGTGAATAAGTGCATTACAAGGCTTGTTGACTTGCCTGTACCCCCGCAGAGCACAGGTGCTATGAAGGCAAGGATGCATCTCCACTATTGTTACTCTCCACCCCCCCAAAGCAAATTACAGAATGGATGAATGATTGAGAGAGTAGCAGGTGCAATGGCAGCATCCTTTGGAAAAAGGTGATTTGTTCTGCAGTTTGGTTTCCTCTACTTCTATGGATGTGCTAGACTTTGAGGGAAACCAGGCAAATTTAGGGTTTAACTCTTAAAAATGCAATGGGGTGGCAGCTGTAGTAGGCTTTGTCCCAAGATCTATTTTCTTCTTTATCTTTAAATTCACAGGTCACTTCTTGAGTTATTGTTGTTTCAGCAGTGGCACCAGTAATACGTTAGATTTGTGTCTTAGATGAATGCTTGATAAAGAAGCAAATCCATACATCAAGCAAGACTCTGGCTCCTGAGGTGGATTCAAAAGACAGGGCAGCAGGGAGGGTGAGTGGGCTGTGCCTACTTCACTGAGTGATGGTAAGGGCAGCAGTGGACAGGAAACTGGTTTCTTGCAAAGGGAATACTTCCCCTTAAGAAACAAGGTAGGTTGACCTTTAATCAATAATATAATAATTAATATACTTTGCATCATGCATCAACGTGATCGAAGTTTCATCCTTGTGTAGAGTGAGACTTATTACTCCAAACCCAATGCACACATTTTGACAAGTTCAGACCTTGAAGGAGCTGGTTCTTCTTACACGGAGGCCCATACTTATTTCCCCTTAGCCAGGCCCATCACATTCTGCTCCCTGCAAGATGATGCTCTTAGTTTTCTTTCTCCAAGCACTGAAAGAACAGAAAACTCTTCATTTTAATTTGGGCCAACACCAACCCGTTCACTCTTCCCACCCTCAGCAGCTGTATCTCAAAACCCAGAAGACTGAAATAGCAAGAGACTGTGTTTATAAGAATCAGAGTTGCGCCAAGAGCCTCATCCCTGAAAGTGAACTTTCCTCTGTGTTTAAAGCAAGTTTGAGATTCCGAGTCATGAGAGTCCATTTGGCAGGAAGCAGGTGGCCAGCCCCTGCCAGATCCAGCCTTGGAGGATGGCTGTCTGCCTGCGTCAGGCTGAGTCGTGGGGAGCTGATTTTGTAGGATGGACTGTCCTGTCAAGGCGCATGCCCAGAAGGTTCCTGGTGGCCACTGACAGGGTCCACAGAAATGCCTAGACTCTGATGGGCAGACCTGAAATTAGAACTGGGATCATGTCCTGGAGCTCCCAGGATATGGATTTCAATTCCCACTGAAGTCAAAACTGCGTCTGTCCATGACTGGGGATTTACTGTTTTGTCTTGTAAACATTTACTTCTGACAGTTGCCAAGCACTGCTCAGCCCTATTTCCTTGGAAGATTTTAAACTCAAGCTTTTCTTCAAATCCTGTGCCTTCTCTCAGTGGTCAAAAGTGATTTCACTTCTTCATAGACTCAGCTGTATCAGCATACATGCTCCCCTTTCACATAGTGACTGTGTTTTATGAAGTAGCTTTCTTAGAGTAACTATGGTAAATCAAAGTACTTCCTATTGCCAAATAGCCACTGTGAGGAAGACGACAGACATAGGCAGTGGGTATTCTTGCTCTAGGCTGACTATGGGAACGTGGTGGAAACATTCAAAGGAGTAGAGTGTGTCTTGTGTTAAAAATTAAAACAAAGCTTCCCAGTGGGAGTGGCTGAGAGTTGGGGTTTGGCACCTAGCACCCGAGTTTAGGATGACAGCACCCAAGCTGTGGTATAGCACTTGCTTGGGTGACTTCCTTTCTAACGAAGGAATAACTAGTGTCTTCAGTGGGTGATGGCCAGCTCCTGGAAACATAAACCTAAAGTGGGAGGCACCCAACATATGTTAAAGTCTCATTAGAATTTGGAGTCGAAGTGAAGATGGGGAAAGACTGCTGGCACGAATTATGGGCCTATGTGATGTCATGCTTTATCAGCTCATGCAGCATTTTCGTGGATGCCCTTTCATCTGCTCATCCCATTTCACAGGTGAGGATGTGGGTCCAGAGAGGTCAGGAAGTCAAGAGGTGGGCACAAGAGAACTCCAAAATAAGCTTTGTGTAAGCTCAACTTTGCCCAGCCTTTTTTTTCCTGAACTTTCTACAGACCTTATCCCATCTCCTCTTATACCCATGTGGTTGAATTGCTTCTCTGTGAAATTATTTCCTTTGCAACGTGACTGTAAAATCTTACACTTCACCATGCCAGAGTGTGCAAAGGGCTTGGTATATGGTAGTTGCTTTGAAAATAGTATTTTTTGCTAGTTAATCCTCATCTCTGTACAATTCAATAGGGATGCATGGTAGGAAGGAAACTAATTGTGTTGCCTGCAAGATCAGGTTAAATAAGTGTGGTAATACTGCAAAGTGTACTGCTTGTGGCTTGTTATACCCAGAGACGGAAAGAGCTGTCTTCCTTCACATTTGATGGGGAAAGCTTGTTGTCATTCAGGCTTTCAATGCTGAGGCAGTGTTGCTGAAAGTCAGCCCTCGCTTGAAGTTTAGGCATCAGGGTTGCTGTCATGTTCAGCACAGGAAAGCAGGAGTCAAGCAGGCTGCTGGAGATGGAGGTGACAGCAAACATGGGGCCTCATTATCCAATTACTCCTTGATAAATGCTTCACTCTTTAAGAGAGTGTTTAAGAGTGTTTCACTCTTTAAAAAATGTAGGAAATGAACAATAAATTTTTATTAAATGTTTATAGTACTTGTGTGTTTTGCTCTTAAAAATATTTCACAGGCATACTTTTTATTAGACTTCTGACTCATCTGGTTTAATTTAGGCATCCTTATCTGTAGATCAAAGCTGCTCATTTGCCTGTCCATTCATCAATGTCCTCTCCTTCTCTGCCCTTTACAGTCTCTGTCACCTCTGGTAAGACACTGGAGCAGGGGAGGGGCAGGCACTGTGGAGCACAAAGTCCTCATCCTGATGTTCAGCTTTTGATGAATGGGCCACAGGGCTCCCAACCCCTGGGACTTGCATTAGCCAAGCTGCCAAGACGAAATCTTTTCATTATGAAAGATAAGGCTGGGTTTAGCAAAAGGAACGCAGACCATGGTGGGGAAGAAAGATAATTTATTTTAGAAGATAAATCAATAAACCATTGCTACACTCATTCAAATTTGCTTTTAGATGGCTTTTGGCCTGGAATCCCTGACTACTTTTGTAGGTCCTGCCTTCTCATGTGATTTCTCCCCTCTAGTTTCTAGGTTGGACTGAGGCTGGGCATTCACATTGCTCTAGACAACAAGCATGTTCCATTGTGATTGATATTGTGAAGCCAGAAACCCTTTCAATCGTGTCCTCAGGGAAGGGGCAGGGGCAGAAGGAAAAAAAGCAGCATCATGTTGCTCAGAAAGCATGGCAGAAGGCACTACTCAGAGCTGTCTGGGTTACTCCAAATGAGGATAAATGCTCTTTGCTACTCAGCAAGAACCAGGGCAGAAGAGAAAACATCACTCTATGTCTGTCAGGGAACCACCATTCAAGCCAATCCTGATGTAGTGCAATACATTTGGCTTCATAAGGAACTTGGATGAGCTGATGGAAGATAAATGAGACAGAATTTCACAAGAGAAGCAAGGTGCACAGGGCAAGGTGCTTTGAGGCCATGCAGCATGGACAGTGGCACTGCACTTTGTAGTCATTGGGAGATTATGCGGTTAGGGTGGGAGGTGGTCTTCGGGAGATCTGAATTAAAATGCCCTTTAGCAGGGAGTGGTTGTGTACATCCTCATATCAAATCAGTGTAGCTTCCTTTCTTCTCTTCTTAGGCTATGAAACAGCGTAGAGGAAAGCTGCTCAGAAGCTATTTAAAGGCTCTTTGGTACAATTTTCCAATCAGTCCTTGTGCAGGCAGATAACACGGAAGTACCCTCAGTCTACGGCTGGGATGGAAGCCCTGGAGTGACCTTAGGGTTCCTCTGTGTCCTCAGTGTCCAGGTTCCTGGGATTGGGCTCTGCAGGTTCTTGATCACATATTGTTCTGTTTCACCTGTCCTCGGTGATGGGGCGGTGCTCTCCTGGCTACAGATGTCTCAGGGGTGACCACACACCCACCTGACTCAAGACGGCAACATTGGATTCCCCAGTGCTGTGCTGTGTAGCACTAATTAGATACGACTGTGCCTTTTCAGAAACCCCAGGGCCATCAGCTATTACCTGAGTCTCCCTGGGAAGTCCCTCTGGTAGTTCCATGCCATTGTGGATCTGAGCTTCTAGCCCTTGTCCATCACCTGCTCCACTCTACTCCCCTCTCTCCTTGCTGGTTCATGAGGAATCCCAGTCCTCAGCTGTCCCTGCCCCAGGAAGCTTTCAAGTAGCTGAGAAGACAGACCCTAAACAAGTAAAGTGTAGACAAGGTACACTTTAAATAGATACGGATTTCTAAAAGCAACAGAAGTATCACGATAATGCATGTAATTAGTCCCCAGATGCACTTTATGGACAATTGTTATAAGAACTTGGAGAGGGATTAGGAAGATCAGGAGGGTCTGAGTTTGAATTTCTGATCTTGGAAAAGAATGATGGACACATTTTGTCTGTGCACAAAGGAGAGAATGAGGAGGAAAGGTCATAGTCCAGTAGCAGAGGGGTTGGTGGGGACAAGGCCAAGGAGCAGAGCCCCTGAAAAGAAAGAACACCCCCTGCATAGTTGACAGTCTTGCCTAGGGCATACCTCCTGAAAGATGAATCCTTGCTCAATGCTAATATGAAACCCTGTTTATGCTATGGGATTAATCAAGGCCCTGAAACCCTTAAAGCATCCCCAAGAAGCAGAAGCAACAGGAAAGAAACCACAAAGATGGAAAGGAAGGGGAGGTGGTTTTGAAGGACTCAGTGAAGATTTCTGAACAATCAGAGCACGGGAAGTGGCAGAGATACCACAGGAATCGCTTTCACTGTCAACTCTTGTCCCAAATGTGACCGTGCGCCGTGTCGGTGCCCACCATTTGGAGCTGACTGGATAAGAGCAGGAAGGCAGCCACATGAGCAGAGGGTAAAAGTCCTTGTGGACCAGGGACTTGAGCATGGCCTCACCCTGCTGGCCCCATTACCTGCCCTGGGCTGACTGCAGGCTGCGAGGGCCAGAGCTCAGAGAGTTGGGCCAGATCCAGGAAGGCGGGGGAGTTGCTCAGGGGAGCCTCATCGTGTCACCTGAGCTGCACATGGAGCAAGCGTAGCTACTCAACACCTCTCAGTTCTTGTAGGGTAGCAAGCAGCAGAGGGTGGGATGTGGGCAGAAAGGATGGCGTCAGGAAAGGAATCAGGAGGTGTAAGATCAAGCAAGGGCGAGGGGAAGAGACGCAAAGAGAGGCTGCCACCCAAGTCAGCCTTCCTTTTTGTTCTCACGGCGGGCAGTGGTGTTATTACTAAATGGCCTCAGTATTTCTAGGTCCTTCCGTGTAAGTTCTACACCCACTACATTTCCATGCTCTGCCCCAGAGCCCTGCTATGGAGTTGCAGCTCCCTGCACTGTGAACACCCTGTCCTGGGTGCTGGAAACTGGATGAGAACACCATCCTCCTCTTCATTGCTTATCAGGACTGCAGAGAGCAGGGGAAGGAAGTCCGTCCAACAAAGTGTTAGCTCGGGGCTGGCGCCGCGGCTCACTAGGCTAATCCTCCGCCTTGCCGCGCCGGCACACCGGGTTCTAGTCCCAGTCGGGGCGCCGGATTCTGTCCCGGTTGCCCCTCTTCCAGGCCAGCCCTCTGCTGTGGCCCGGGAGTGCAGTGGAGTATGGCCCAGGTGCTTGGGCCCTGCACCCCATGGGAGACCAGGAGAAGCACCTGGCTCCTGGCTCCTGCCATCGGATCAGCGCGGTGCGCCGGCCGCAGCGCGCCAGCCGCGGCGGCCATTGGAGGGTGAAGCAATGGCAAAAGGAAGACCTTTCTCTCTGTCTCTCTCTCTCACTGTCCACTCTGCCTGTCCAAAAAAAAAAAAAAAAAAAAAGTGTTAGCTCGGGGAAACATGGCTTTGGCATCCCCAGGACAAGAGCCAATCTGTTTCCCCACAGTAATATCATTTCTATTCTAGTTAGACCATTTCAGAGTTAAAGGAAAAATAGGAAAAGAAAGAATCAATGGCGAAAGAGGAGGAGGAGAAAAAATCCTACTTTTGTCTTTTGGAAGATGTCCCTCCCACTGAGTGCCCATTTCAGTACCTCATTGTGAATCCCAGGCAGGCTCTCAAATGTCTGATGTAGGGCACTGTGGTCAGGAGACCTCCCCAAGGAGCCAACATGGACCCCAAATTTTGGAGGTCTCTGGGGAATCTATCTTTCAGTGAGTGCCAAGGCCTGGGAGGAATGTTAGTCGGCCCTAGTTGAGTGCCGTCTATTTGCTGTGCTACTCTCAGAGTCAGCCTGACTGTTCTAGGGAATTTTGCTTATGAGGTGAAGAAATGGAAGACCCCATGGACTCACCTGAACCTCTGCAGACCTGTCTGTCCTACAGAACATAACAGAGGAACGGATATGTGCTCTGACCTCTCTTCTGATACCTACTCATAAAGTCACAGTGACCTGTGGAGCAGGCCCCATCCCTGAGTATACACTTTCACTTTATCAAGCCACTCATGCAGATTGGGAACACAAACGAGAACAATTTAGCGAAGTGGAGCTGTGTCAATGACATACACTTTAATAAAGATGCTTATATGTTGAATATCAAAACCACAGCTTAGCATTATTTGTTGTAGGTATTGCAAGCTAGTGATGATGCAGGATGCCCCATGGCTAAATCTGGCCTACAGCTTATTGTATTTAACCAAGAATGGCTCCTATATTTTGAAGGATTATCTTTATTCATCAACAAAGTCGCAGCAAAGAAGAATGCATGACAGATACCATATAGGCCACAAGGCCCAAATATTTACTATCTAGCCATTTACAGAAAAGGTTTGTCAACTGAAGGTGTATGTTAAATAGATTTTTATTTTTTGGTTCCTCTAGGAACATCTTTTCCTTCCCCCATTTACAATAATGCCTCTTGGAAAAATGCAGTCATGACTTCTCTACTTCTTATGAACCTGGAATCCAGCCAGTTCATAAGCTGGGGACTGTCTGTGCCTCTCTGGGTTTTCCGTGCCAAGTGCAGTGCTGGGCGCAGGAGAGGTAGTTTGCTGCTGCTGTTGCTCAGTGTGTACACAATGACTTGCAGGCTCACTGGGAAAAGGAGTGTTCCCACAACTGCCTTTGGGAACTTTGGGTTCCTGAGGACCTTAAGGTGACAATCTCTGCTGATTTTGTCTTAGGTATCACCCTGTGGAGCAAATCAAGAGTCTTTTGCCCTGACTACTTCCTTGGTTCTGTGGCTGCCTATTTGAGAACAAGAACAGAATTACATGGGCTTGCTTTTAGCCAAGGAGTAAAGCATAGACAAACATGAACTTGGCCATTACAATAATCCTGTGCTGCTCAGAGAGAAAGGAGAGAAAGTGCAAATAGAGCTGAAATTACCAGTCAGAGACAAATGAGTGCAATATGAAAGTCTAAGTGGTTCCAGAAGACATTTGGGGTGTCCTGGAAAAAAGATTTGGAATCTGGATAGGAGATATTCAAGCAAATCCTTAAGTTTCATCCTCTCCAGGATTCTTCAAATCCTAAGGCTAGATAATAATCCTTTGCTTCTCTTCTTGTTGGACAGGAGGTACTTGAGATAGGCAAAAATACATGGATAAGCATGAAGTGCTACAAAAATGAATAGAAATACTCAACTCAGTTGGGATTTTCTCTTATATTTGAATGTACCTAAGTGTTCAGACTTTTTGATAGACCAGTACCTACATTTTTTTTTCAAATACTGTGTAAATTTGCTTAGATTTTTTTTTGCCTAATGAAGCATGTATTCTTCAGTTTAGTGATAATCATTTCTAGCTTATAAGGTGGCTATGATATGAATGTTAGGGAAGTAATCTAATAACTCCTGAGCCCCACAAAAGACAAAGACAATTATTTTGTCTTTTGAAACGTATAAGTCTAATAGTTCAGGGCAGTTTCTTATCAGTTGCACAAAAGCATTACTAAACCATTCCACTTCAAGCAATGTCTATGGTAAGTGTCTTCTCTCCTCAGTTCACTTCCCCCGCCCCCAAAGCTTCTCTTTAGGTGGGAAAGGCAATAATCCACGTTACAGTAGCAAAGAAGAGGTCACAGTTTCCTCCATAGAGCAGATAGGGCCCATTCTGAGCCCACCCCCTTGACATTGGAGCCTGGGGTGCATAAACAAGCTGATGGCAGCATTGGCAAGGGGTTGGTGTCCTCGTTGAAATTCTAACTTGCTTTGCTGGCCCAAGCCCACAGTGGTCATCTCTACTCACTCATCTTGCAGAGACTTTGGAGGGCCAGAAGGCTGCTGCTGCCATTGCCTTTTGAGGGTAGGTGGCACCATGGCAGCCCGGCTCAGCCCGGCTCCACAGCAGTTTGTAGACAGAGAGCAGGTGCAGTGGTCCAGCTGGGCACGACTAGAGTTTCATGGTTAAAAGTCCTAGTAGTGTAAAAAGAGATCAGAGTAACCATCAGGGTAACTATCACTTTTGCCTTCTTTTTAGTCACCCTGGCTTTTGCTTGAAGAGTTTGCCTTCTGTCTGATGAACAGAGCCCTTTCCTTAATTAAGTCAACAAGTATTCAGAGGGAGCATCTGTTTTGGCAAGAAGATAGGAGCAGAACCAGCCCCAGAAGCTATTGAGAATGCTTGTCAAGCTGTGAGTAAGTAGCTACGATTAAACAGTGAACAATTACCTGCCTAAGCAAATAGTTCCTACAGTGCTCTTACTCTCAGGCCATAGCCATGAAACCTACTGGGTCAGTAGGTCTGTGTGATGGTGTGCTTTGAAGAGGGGGGAAGCCAAGATGCTTGGGGCACACAGCTTTCTTTTGTGCAAGGAAATTCAGGAGAAAGTGGATGTCAGCTCATAAATGGTAAAGTGGCCTATCAACCTCATTTTCAAAGACTTCCTGGGACTCTGTCTGCTGAAGGTCAGCATTCTGCACCCTTTTCTCATGGTGGTTATCTGTGAAACTCAAATGCTTGACACACTCTGTGCAGTTCCTATAATCCTTCCCCCTCTTTCCATCTCAAAAAAAAGTTGAAATACAGGTGAATGATATGAAGGATGTTGTATTTATTTTCATTTACTATTAAAAGGGATAAGCTACCTAAACCTGTTCAGATTAACAGTGCTTGGTAATGAATAATTTCAACACACCAAAAATCAAGGTCTTTCTTATCTACAACTGGTTTGCTGTTCTTAGTCAAATGCCCATCTTCTCACAATTTGGTAAAATTCATTGTTATAAGGCCTTAATAACACTCTGGGCCATTAACCCCTAAGAAAGTGATGAGATCTGATAGAACTGTACACATCAACCCTTCCAATGAAGAACTACTCTTGGATTTGGCTGGGCTGGAAATGTGATAGTATATTTACTAAATTCAATTTGGAGGCAAATCTTGAGGAAACAAAACATTACCGAATCCAAATTGGAGCACTTTTCTCTCCACTATTTATGAGGAAAAGGTGCTATGGAAAATATGTAGGTTTTGTGTTAGGGACACCCAGGTTTGAATTGTGGCTTCTTCTTGGCCTTGGGCAAATCTGTAATCTCTTTCAACTCATATTTTCATCTCTAAAATAGAAATAGAGTTGTTATAAGATTTAGAGTTAACAGGTATGACATGCCCTGCAGATAGGCACACAGTAGAATTTAACAGAAAGTGTTATGCACCATGGATGGACCCGTACAAGTAGGTGGTAGGAGGGTTGAAGGCTTAATATTTTAGAGTGTTAGACATGCTGCATGGTTACAAACAGAAGTCTTGGATGAGACTTGATAGAGGCAAAAGGAAGAAAACAGTGATGGGTAAACTTTTTTTCTGAAATCCCTTTCAAAAACCTGGGAATTTCTTGAATAAAGAGTCCGAGATCTCTCCTAATGCATGAAATCTGAATTACGAACCCAAATTGTCTATCCCACAGTGTCAGATTGGTTTTTGTGATGTTGAGACAATGCCAAAGCGACTCCTTTTAAAGAAGACCTTTTAACCACTGCTACTTTGGGTAAATTCCTCAAACTCCTAATAAAGCAGTAAACATGTGAGTATAAATATGACAATCATTTGTGTAACTGTGACAATTTTAGAAAGGTTTTTGGCATGCTTAAATGTATGGGGACTTTTGTGGATGAGTAAAACATACTCAACTCATGAAATTTCATGTAAGTTTTGGGTGACATTATCAACTTCTTGTAAAATCAGTGTGTCTATATACCATATCATGCTATGGGAAAGGAAAAACATGTTAAAAATTTACCTTCCTGGAAGGAGAAGGGCTGCAGAACAGTATAACAAACAATTATTTATGGATGATTTTACATGGATACAATTGTCATGGTTTTTATCTGATGACTGAAAGATTTTCTAGTTGTCTATTTTAATTAGAAGTGGCATGGACACTAGCTTTCAGGTGCTCTGAACTTCCCCATATCTAAAATTTAGAATTGTCTATAAAGGTGTTTAAAGATCTTTTCTAACACAGAAACACATGTCACTGAAGAGGGGATCTGGGTCAAGCGCGTTTTTTTCATTCAGTTCCTGAAAGAATCTCTTGTAACAACTAAACTTATCTTTTCTATTAAGGCAGAAGAGAAGCAAGCCTTGCACATTCAACTTCTTTTTAGATGCCTGCCTCTATAATAGAATACCCATGTCTTGTAAAGCTGTTATTGGACATGCAGAGACCAAAAGAGTATAAAATTGCAGTCAGTAGCTGGGTGCCAGAATCTAAGTATTGACCGCAAGGCTGAATTTCTATCCAGCCAATTAGAAGACATTCTCTAGAAGAAGCATTCATGTTCTAGGTCCAAATACAACCAACCATAAACCCCAAATTCACATGCAGCCATAATCTCCATTGCAACGTGGAAAAAAGATTTGCCTGTAGAAGGATTTAAGGAAACGATCATTTTTCTGCAAGGGAAAAAGGAAAAGATGATGGGCTCATGACCTTTACTTTGGAGATCATGTAATAGCAACTATAATTTTCTTTGAAATTCTTCAAGGAAATTACCAAAATAGAGGAAAGAAGACATGGAAATGGTCAGCAGTTTTAGACCAGAGATTCTTGTCAAAAATATTCCCCAAACATAAGTCCCATTTTAAATTCTTCTTGTGCAATGACAGACATATTTAAGTTTTTTACACATAGTTACCATGTTCATCATTAGTAAAATACCAAGTTATTAAGATTTCCCAAAAATTTGGTAAACACAGAACAAAAATGATGATGTTTCCCATGTCCCTGCAGAAAGTGGGGCTAGGTGAGGTGAATGGACTACTAGATCTTTTGCTAGAATCAATGGAGTTCAGTCAAAAATTGTCTGCAAATTCCTGTTTTTAACAGTTCTTTGGGGATCAGTCAGTATCTGTACAAAGCTAAGCATTAGTATCTTTCAAAGTTCAGGAAGGATATATCTGGACCATAAGGATCATGCTACATGCCATAGATGAACCCCATTCATTAAGTGAAGCAGGGGAGAAGAAGTGGAAGCACTATTTTGCCTTCCAAAATATTATAGGTTGTAGGCTTTCATAACAGAGTTCTGGAGAAAGTAAGCAATTTGCCAGGAAGAACCACTCCAAGCCACGTCAAAAAGATTGTGGAGTCATCTAGGAGCATCTATTTTAGCATAAAATCAGCACCCACATTACCTCAACCTCTTGATTTTTAAATGTTACAGAAGAAGCCCTCCTTCATCTGATCTTAAAATTGCTGAATAGATTTTTGTCCTTAGTGCTTGAAAAAAATAACCCTCAAGACTAATGTTTTCTATGGGAAAAGCCATCTTCTCCTTGACTAGTTCATTCCATGCCTTCTAGATTCAAGGGGAGAGAGTGTGCCACCATTGTATTCTGAGACCTAATAAGTGCCCCTCCCTTGTCATCTTTTGGGAATAAGGAGCAGCCAAAGTATATCCCACTGTCAACTGTCACCCAAACTGAGAAACTGGATACGTTGGAAATGGTGGAGTTTAAAAACCTGCTCTAAAGACCATGTACCTGGATATCAGCCATCATCTTACAGCTCTTCCTTTCTAGAACTGTTTTCCATAAATGTCAAATGTGGCTGTCAAGTAGGTTTAGCCTGAAAATAAAATCCCCGCACTTCCATCAAGAAATAGCTCCAAACTTAGAGTGCATGCTCAAAATACTCTTGATGAAATCATGATCCTATATTTATAGTCCTTTGGATTGTGTATGAAATTGTTTCCCATGGTGTTTTTCATTGAAAGGGCCAGTTGTGGACAGTGGGCTCAGAGGATGACTGAGGGTACACTAGTGGCAGGGAATGCTGTTCTGCATCACTCTGAACTGGCAGCTCCTCGTGCCCTACCTGATGCCCGATGAGTTGAGTCCTCCCCCTTCTCTTCCCAGGTGGTCCCCCCATTTGATAGACCTATCTTGTCTTCCAGGAGAAGTGAACAGGCATTCTGAGTAGGAAGAGGGGTGGGTAACTAAGATCATTCCCTCTTTCTTTGCCCTTTCCTGTCCTCTAGACTTCCTCCCCATTTTCACTGAGGGAGATGGTGTGGATCTTAATAGTTGGAACTTGATGGTTCTCTCCGGGGTTGGGGGTTGAGGGCCCTACACAGCAGCAGACCTGCAAAAAGCTTTTACTTCTCACCCGGGCTGTAGTGCAGGCTGATTGGTCTTTGGGCACAGTGATCCTGGCAGATCCACGGGGCATGGAAGAGAAAAACTTCCATTCACAAACCCCATCCGTCTTGGAGATCTTATAGAAGGTCTCTCCAGATCCCACTGGGATGCGCACCATGTCCTTATGCTGCCCCTCCAGGGCCTGGCTGGGGGCATGCAGAGTATAGCCCAGGGCATGCTTGGAAGACTGCTTTCTGCGAAGACACTGGATTTTCAAGACATTCTGAAAGGCCTTTTTGAACTCTTGACTGGAGCATGGGTATATGATGGGATTGATGCAGCTGTTTAGGTATCCGAGCCAAAACACTATTTTAAAAACAGTTTCCGGGGGCTTGAAATCAGGGAAGAAAGACCCTAGAAGAAAACAGACAGATTTACAAATATTATTTGCAAGCCAACAGGCCAATTGGCTATGAAAACGAGCAAACAGATATCTTTTCTATCTTAGAACAATTCCAAGTACAATTGCATTTTTCACATTTGACTGACTAGCCCCTGTGAATATAACCCTTTTGCAACATCCTCAAAGACCACTGTTACTTGGTCTGAGGAAGTACCATTGTCTGAGTTTTTTTTTTTTTTAATGTGTGTTGCTATAACAAAATGAAGCTGGGTACTTTATTAAAAAAAAGAAGTTTATTTGGCTCACAATTCTAGTGGCTGGAAAGCTCAACCAGCATGGCTATGAGGTGAGGGCCCCCCTGATTTGTATCACAATATGTCAGGGAGGTTGAAAGGGAAATATCTGGATGCAGAAGAGGCCAAGCACTTGTGGCGTGGCCTTGCTTTGTAAAATCCTACTCTTGAGGAATGAGTCTATTCCCGTGAGACCTAACCCACTCCACAAGACTAACATTAGTCCCTTCAGTAGGATGGTTATGACCCAATCGCCTACTAGACCCCATCTCTTACAAGTCCCACCAGTCTTCAATACCCCCACACTGGGGACCAAGCTTCCAGTCCATGAACCTTTAGGTGACAAACCACATCCAAACCATAGCAACCATCAATTATAGAAGCAGGTCCAATAGATAAGTTTTTGTTGGCTCTCACTATAATATCTGATGGCTTTTGAGAAGCCTTAAAAAAATGAAAACATGATATATAGACTGAATCTACATATGCAAATAGTTTTTCCGGAATTTCACCATAAGTTAGAATCCATTCAAATGACCCATATTAAAATTCAGTTACCTGAATATACAGTTTACATAGTGTTAAATAGACATCATTTAAATGCTTATGAATCCCTTCCTTTCTGAATAATGGAGCCATATATTTGAATAAGAATCCTAAATTTACAAAGTACCAGCTCTGTTAAATTTTGTGATCCTCACCTATTTTTCTCGATAATGCCTTTTTTAAAAAAAATTTATTTGACAGGTAGAGTTACAGACAGTGAGAGAGAGACAGACAGAAAAGTCTTCCTTCCATTGGTTCACCCCCCAAATGGCCACCACAGCCGGAACTGGCTGATCCAAAGCCAGGAGCCAGGCACTTCCTCCTGGTCTCCCATGCTGGTGCAGGGGCCCAAGCACTTGAGCCATCCTCCACTGCCTTCCCCGGGCCACAGCAAAGAGCTGGACTCGATGAGGAGCAGCTGGGACTAGAACTGGTGCCCATATGGGATACCGGCACTGCAGGTGGAGGATTAACCAAGTGATCCATGGCGCTGGCCCCTGATAATGCCTTTTAATTATATGGTACATCCCCCTTCTCAATATTTTCCCATGGCTACAGAGGTTTGTCAACTGCACGACATTTGGGATCCTCCGTAGTCCTTGATCTAACCAGCCAGCTAACAGTTTTGCTTATTAATATTCAACTCCAGCCAGACTTATTACAGATTTTTTTCCAAGTCATTGGCTACTTTTTTCTTCTCAAATTAGGCTGTTGTGTCTTTTTTTTAAAGATTTATTTTATTTTATTTATTTGAAAGACAGAGTTACAGAGAGAGGTAGAGACAGAGAGAGGTGTCTTCCATCTGCTGGTTCACTCCCCAGATAGCTGCAACGGCTGGAGCTGTGCCTATTTGAAGCCAGGATCCAGGAGCTTTTTCCTTGTCTCCCATGTGGGTGCAGGGGCCCAAAGACTTGGGCCATCTTCTACTGCTTTCCCAGACCATAGCAGAGAGCTGGATCAGAAGAGGAGCAGGTGGGACTAGAACTGGTGCCCATATGGGATGCTGGCGCCTCAGGCCAGGACTTTAACCCTCTGTGCCACAGCGCTGGCCCCTGTTGTGTCTTAAATAACCCCTTCTACCCTCTCTACCCAAATCTTACCCATTGACTGGCAAGTCAGAAATCATTCTGAGGTCCTTAACATCTTGCACAGTAACTACCACAGAGTTCTTGGAAGCAGAATCACAAAACAGTGGAAGCTTAAAGTGGCAACAACCTTAGGGGTTATATTATCCAATTTCTCTATTTCTAAAATAAAACAATGTTTAAAAAGGTGGTCACAGACTTGAGAGTTACAGTACTAACATAGTGGTAGGTACAGAGATGCAGAACACCTCATCCAGTGTGCTTTATTTTTTCTTCCCCAGACTTCTAGAAGTTCTTTGTTTTTTTAAAGATTTACTTATTTTAAAGGCAGAGTGACAGAGAGTGAAAGACTGGGAGGGAGTGGGGGGAGAAGAGGGAAAGAGAGAGAGAGAGAGAGAGAGAGAGAGAGAGAAAGACAGGGAGAGGGATATCTTCCATCTGCTGATTCACTCCTACATGGCTGCAACAACCAGGTTGAAGCCAGGAGCCAGGAACTCTGTCCAGGTCTCCCATGTGGGTGGCAGGGACCCAAATAGTTGGGTCATAATCCACAGGGAACTGGATTGGATGTAGAAACGCAGGGAGTTGAATCGGCATTGCAGCATGGGTTGCTGGCATTTCAAGAGGAGGCTTAACTCGCTGCACCACAATGCTGTCTCTCCAGTGGTTCTTAGTGAGGGTACTTCATGAAGGACAAAACCTGAATATCCCCCTTCACTCCTTTCAGGAAGACTGTGGAAGAGCATCTTGACCTTCATTTCACCTCTTCCTTCTTCTTTCTTCACTCCCAACCTCCTGTACTTTCCTCCAGAGTTTGTTAGTCCCAGTTTTTTGAATGCTAAGCTGAGTGGTCTTGGGCACAGTCCTATTGTCCATTTGGGCCTCATACTGAAGAAGAATCTGAATCTGAAGCAGGAACAAGTTGTATGGATCATTTCTAATGGTCTTGAGAATCCTTTTCCTTCATTTCAGCCCATAGTCTTAATTTTGTGACTTTTCTTTGGATGCAGCAGAGTCCTGATACACTCTGAGTGCACTTAAAATCCATTCTGGCAAACAATGCTCTGAAACTTGTCAGGAAAGCTCATAAATACAAACAAAGGGTCAACTAACATACACACTGTAGGACTCAAAGTAGACAAAATGGTGCAGTGGTTGATGGGAACACTTATTTTACTGAAGTGCACTCCTTGCTAGGTTCAATGTGTCTCAAGGAACACACACACACACACACACACACACACGCACGAACAGTATTTACTTAGGAAACAATAAGTGAGAAAATTTTATTAATTAACTCTAACGCTATTAACTTTGTCCTCCCATCATTATAATACAGTTGACAGACGCTGAGTGGTTTGGGCTAGGCATCATGCTAAACACTTCACATATAACTTAGTTATTCTTACTAACATTATGCATTAGCTGACTTTTATCAGTACTGTCATTTTACAAATAAAGAAGCCATTGTTTAATGAGGTTAAAAAGCACAGTCAAGTTCATTCAGATAGTTTCTAATAAGACTGGGATTCAAAATTTGAAAGTCTGATTTTAGGGTCTATGAAATCTCAACATATACTAGAATAATGCATTGTTTTGGGGAAGAGCATGGCACATACGGGGTGATGAAGTGTGTGGCTGGGGGAAACTGAATTGGAAAGATGCTGCTTTGAACTACCTCTGAGGTGAGAAAGTGGTCAATACTAACAAGGCAGGTGGTTTTGTGTGAACACAATGCATCCCAGAAAAAACTCATCTTGCAATATGATGCCTATATAGTGCACAATATTTCTTCTTAATAGTGACAGCAATGTGATTCAAGGAACACACTTCACAAATGCCTCTGCCTTGTCCTATGCTTAATGACTGTAAGTGTTCATGAGCTGGGCATGCCAAAAACCATCTTGTTTGGAAATTTCACTGCTCCCTAAATCAGCTAGTGAAGGGAGTATATTTTCTCTTTTTGAAGCATTTCAATTTAAAAGAAAGGAAAAATATAAGAAATATGATTGTGAATGCTAATAAAGTGATTTAAGAGCCTTGGAGTTTCCCACAATTCCTTCAAGGATTCTCTTTCTGTTTACAGAGCCCATTTTTTGCATTAATAAACTTCAATATTTCCTCTTGATCATCTCCTTTCCATCACTTCTTCCCTTCCTAGGACTCTACCCTAATTCCAGGTCTAGCTGACCCAAAGCTGAGTTCTCTCTTCCAGTTTTACTGCTGCATTCACACCTTCAGAAGCAAATGCTGGTCTTCCCCACTCTGCACACCTCAGTCTAAACTTCCATTTTTCCCCTCTGCAGCTCAGAAACAGATTGAAAAAAAGCATTGGTTAAAACTAATTTACACTAAGACTTGGACATCAGTTTCCAGTCTTTCTCCTCCTGGGATATTTTCTTGTTAATCCAACCAAATCTCTAGATGTCGACTTCTCAGACCATCAGTAGGAGATGCTTCCAGACCAGAGAACGTCCCATTAACAACAGCATGTGTTTTATCCCATTGTGTGACAGCACCCAGATGTGTCTAAGCTTAGCACAGATTTGCCCACTCTCAATCTGACATTTCCAGCAGCGGCAGGTCACGAGCTCCATCTGCTCGGCTTGGAACATTCTTCTTCCCATGGAGGGGATCCATGTGATTCCCAATGGATAGTTCCTGATATGTGGCTGGGGTTAGGAGAGGAATTTTATAACTGTACTTCCTTCAGGAACTTTCCACAGGGAGAGGAAAGACAGCAAAGAACTGTTTCCCTCCTTATTTGCACTATTCATGATCTAAGGTCTCATCCTTTGCTTCATTTTTTCCTGTCTTAAGAAAGGGAGCCTGAGCTAGAATCAGGCTTGGAAAAGAGCTGTTGGTCCCAATCAAGGTCCTTTATCTCACCATCTACTTCTCTGCCCAAACCTTCCCACCTGCACTGTCTTCTCTGAACTCCCCATGATTTCCATCCCCAACGTCAATTTATTCTCAGATCCATTTTTACTGAGGACTGATGATTCTTTGTAGAGTGTGAAGACAGCTGAAGGATGCTTCTCCCAGTCCACCCAATGTGGCATGAGGGTTGGACCAGCCTAGTCAAGG